CGCAAGTTACTCGAAACATCAATGAGGTATATGGCCAGGGAAGTGTTAACGAACGGACAGTGTGACTTTGGCTCCAAAAATTTTGACATGGCAATTTCGACCTTGAAGATCAAGAAGGTCGCGGACATCCTTCTGCTATTGATGACGATAAATTGAAGGCTCTGGTGGAAGCAGATACACACACAACTATTCGAGAATTTGCAAAAGAACTCAGGGTAAGCATATCAACTGTTTCTGAGCATCTGAAGAAGACTGGAAAGTCAAAGAAGCTTGACAAATGGGTGCCGCACGAATTGAATGAGAATCACAGAAATCGCCATTTTGAAGTGTCATCGTTGCTTCTTTTTCACAACCAGAACAACCCGTTTCTCAACCGTATTGAGACGTGTGACAAGAAATGGATGCTCTACGATAACCGGCAACCATCAGCTCAGTGGTTGGACCACGATGAAGCTCTGCAGCACTTCCCAAAGCCGAATCTACACCAAAAGAAGGTCATGCTGACTGTCTGGTGGTCTGCTGCTGGTTTAATCCATCACAGCTTCCTGAATCCAGGTGAAACGATCACAGCAGCGAAGTATGTCCAGCAAATCAATGAAATGCACCAGAAACTTCAATGGCTGTGCCCAGCACTGGTCAACAGAAAGTGTCCAATCCTTCTCCACGATAACACGCGGCCACATGTTGCACTTTTGATGCTGCAATGGTTGAATGAGCTGGGCTGCAAAACTCTGCCTCATCCACCGTACTCACCAGAGCTCTCGCCCACTGACTGTCACTTCTTCAAGCATCTCAACAGTTTCCTGTGCGGGAGACGCTTCCAAAACCAAGGGGAGGCTGAAACTGCCTTTGATGACTTCATCACCTCCAGAAGTTCAGAATTTTATGCAACCGGAATAAATATGCTTGTTTCTTGTTGGCAAAAATGTGTTCATTCTAATGGTTTTTATTTCAATTAATAAATTTTACTCTGAGCTGAGATATGCCACTTCAAATATGCAGGTTGAAATCGGCAATTAATTTCCGAGCAGCCTGATAAATAAATTGAACAATAATGAGAAGCAAAACCAAAAGGGGAGTCTCCCCTAAAACTCTTCTACCATTAACATCAACTGTTTTGCTTTCCAGGGATTTGCAGAATCTTCTCTGCTAGCCTGCCTTCACTGTGAGCCAAGATCAAAGAGCTGAGCCAAAGTGGGATTATGATGTGAATCTTTGTTCTCTGGAGTGCTCTGTGGAACAAAATCACAATATCATTAAGGCTTACAGTGTTCTGTGAATGGGAAAAGGAAACAGAGTCTGGGTTTTTACTATGCTGGAATTAATTTAAACTTCAGTAGTATCAAATCTTCCAATGTGCAGTGCAGTAATGAAATATATTTCTCCTATTTTCTTTACTCTGTGCTAGTCTTCCCCATTCACTATGTATAATGGGACCACACACAAAATTGAAGATACAGCAAATCTAATTGCAATCTGGATTGAATTCAGAGTGAAGTAAAAAATCATGGAGGGTGCAACTGAGCAGGCTTTCTCCATCACAGTTTTAAATAGATGTTTTTCTTGAATATTTACAGTGCTATTGATGCCTATTATTCATAAAGCTTTTATCCAATATTTGAAGTTAGTGAGAATTTATGGCCCTTTGCATAGTTTTAGTATGCTAAAAAAGAAAGAGTTGACCATAAACAATGAAAATTGCATATAGGTTTACACTGTGAAGATTACAGACATGATTACAGGGACTTGACTATCAGTTCATTTAGAAATGATCTGTTTGAGCTTATTTTTCATGTGAGCTCATTTATCACTGGAATGGTTGCTAGGATGCTGTACTTTGTAATTTGAAACTTGGTCTAGAAAAGAGTAATTGTGAATAGGTTTTTAAACATATTTTCTTCTTGGCAGTCTCGATATAGTGAAATTATTCATGCAAAATGGTTTTCATTATATTAAGTCCTGATCTTACAACCACTTATATCTGGACTTAACTTTATTCAGAGTTGCAGAATGATTCATGTTAGATCTCTGTGTGAAGTTAAGCATGCATAAAATGGATCTATTCATCTGGCCTTAAATTCCTTCTAACCTTCTGTGCCTAATATTTTCTTCTTAGTTGGCTTCTGGCAAATATCTGCCCAGGTCACTACTTAGACCATGGAAATCATTCTTCAGTGGTCACTAACTTTCACCACTGAACAAACACAGACTTGTGTAAAATGGAAGCTGTGTGAATGTGAGCTGGATTACTTAAAACCCCAGTGCGATTGTGAATGGTGCATATTACATCCCTATGTGGCATAAATCCTTTCAAATCCTAGTCCCTGGCAATTTTTAGCAAGTCTTGTGACTTTCCTCTCACCTTTTCTGTGTCAGGGTATCTTTAAACACAGTCTATTCTAGATAATGCAGATGGAACTGGGATTCTGGCTGCAAGCACTGGATATCACTCTTGACAGACGTGGCTGGTTGGTTTTGGCAGAAGCAATCCCTGAAGGACCTCCCTTCATGCAGAGCAGGGCAGCAGCTGGCTGCTGTGGGGAGCATCCAGAAAAGCAGCCCTGAGTGAAAGGAGTAGGGAGAGGGAAGCAGGCTAGAGAGCCTTTAATCCATGCAGTGGGAGCAGCCATTGGAAGGAAAAGGTCTGGAACCCCAAATAGGAAATAAATACTAGATTTGTTTTCTATGTCAGAAAGAGGAGATTTGCAGCTTTCTGCTAAGATTTCTGAAATGTGTACATATACCTGCAAGTATAAATACTCAGTTGGATATTTCTGATCTTACAGATAATTGTGTTCTGTGTTATTTGAACACTATGCACTGAAGACTCATGAGTTTGGGACCCAGGAGGCCTGACCCTTTATCCTCTTATATCCTTTTTATAAGTGACTAATGTCAGGGGACATTAATGTCAGGGGAATTAGTCCCCATTTGCAATAATCTTGACTTGATTTCTGAGGTGTCAGAATGTGACCAGATAAGTCAGTAGACATGTAAGACCAGAGATGTGGTAGAAACCTGATTCAAAAGATGACAGGAATCATGTTTATTGCACTCTAGCTGTGATTGAGAGAAACATTTACAGCTTAAGAAATGTGTGTTACATGCTATCATCATGAAAAGAAACCACAAAAGATAGGAAAAAGCCAACTCACTCCTTGGAACATCTGGGAAAGCATATGAACAGAAGGCTGATCCCCAGGAATATACAGGAGGCAGTAATCTGACTGCTGATATCCCTTCAGCTCTGTTTTTTCAGTATCAGTCTTGGTACAGTAAATGAGTAAATGTTGTCAGCTTGTCCTGAAGACTTGGGGCCCATGAGTGATCTTGGGGCTGCAAGTATGAGGAATTGGCTCTGAGACACTGGGGAAAATGTGAGGATAAAGACCCTACTTATGAGCTTGAAAGGGGAAAATTATGTTGAGCTGGAGGGAAAACATGCTTTACTGACTGTGCTGAAGGTAACTGAGGAAGCAGGGGGTGAGGACAGAAAGGATTATTTCATTCTAGTGTAGGACTCTAGCAAGGCGATATTATCTCCACGTAATGAAGCAACCATTAGTCCAAATCTTTATAAACTGGTTTTAATCAAGTCTTGTAGCAATAGCATGTAAAACCTCGACTAAAATCCCCTCACTAAGAATCTGGAAGTAGTTGACAACCATTCAAATGCCACCTACACAGCTGGTGGTTGTGGGCCCAGAAATCAGGGCATGCCAAAAACCACAAGACAATCTTGTAAAACAATAAGGCAAGTCTATTATTCTCTCTGCCTCTGCTGATGGGGTTATTGTGGCTCCCAGGCTGGCTATAGCGTCTCCACTGTCCTCCTTTGAATGTACCATCTCCCCGGGTACCCCTCTCCATTGTGTGGCATAGACCTACCCCGAAGCCAGCTGCAGGGAATCCATGGTTTTCCGACGTCCGCTAGCCAGATTTGTTGGCTTGCCAGAGGCTTTGCAACACAGACTGACTGGAGCAGGGCCTGAGGATATGAGCTGGTATGCTGGAGAAACATTTATCCAGAAAGTAGAGATGGGAGTTTCTCCATGAATGTCAAGTACCTTTCGCAGGAAGACAGAGGCAAGTTTTGTACTCCTTTCCCACTCAGGATAATCCAGGAGTCTAATTTAGACATCTACAGCCCCAGACAGCAAACTAAAATGCAGTGCATGTGACAGCTGAGGTTCTGTGTGAGGTGTTGAATCGCTTCTATGGCATTTTTCAATATGTGCAAATTACTGGGTTTAGTACGGGGAAAAAAAGGGATTTGAAAGCTGAATAAACACCAGCACTTAAACAAATATGTACTCTACTCTTCGTTGATGTATATAGGCCTCTAACTTGTTAATGTTGCTGCTGCTGTTGAATTGTGTAGATTGGCTCAAAATTATCATAACAATGCTCATTTCTTATATATGAGGCAGTGTAGGAAGAACTCTCTCTTTTAAAAAGTAACTAAGGATGGGGGATAAAATCGACAACTTGTATACAGACTTTTTAGCTAAAAGAACTTCATTATATGAAAAGTTTAGGTCTATAAAGATAAGTTTCTGAACTGTTTCCATCTGTCTCGTCCCTCTCCTATGTCAGCAGGGGGAAGTAGTAACTAAGACCTTCTGTGGTTTAGATACTAAGTGCTTTCATTGGAGTATTTTTGTCCACCCTCCTTTTTTTTTTCCCTCTTTGACATCAGTAAGAAGTTTTATTTATACACTGCTATGAGATATTATATCTGCTATGGAAAATTACTGACAACTGCTTTGTCAGTGACGCTTATGTCCAAGTAAATCTGCTTCCTTTTACAACATATTTGTTAATCTGGATTAAAATATTGCAGGTGCTGCTCAGATTTCTACTGCCTGCAAGATATTAATATTGTTTGAATTAGACTGGTTGCTGTAACAGCAATTTTCTAAAAATTGCAGTGATGGTGGCTTCAAGGCATGCAGTGTGAGCTAGGACACCTCTTGTTCCCCATCCAGATCTCAGGCTGCGTCTCCAAAGCCTGTGCCTGCTCAGAGTAGAGCTAGTTTAGCCCCACCCTCTGAGCAGTCCAGCCTTTATTTATATGAAATCTGTGGTCCAACTGGCTTCAGATGGCGTGTGTATGTGCGTGTGCCTGCCTTCTGAGTGTGTGAGACGAGCTGGGATCATGAGCCAGGGTTGTTCCAAGTGGTTTTAATCAGCAGCCCATTAGAGGAGAACGGAAAACTTCTAACAGGATAAGAACTGAGTAAGTAAACCTAACTTTGAACTCGCAATCTGGACAAAACAAGCGCAAACAAAAATCTTCATAGTCTGTCAGTTTTCAGATAAATGATCACTTTTAGAGAGAAAGCTGTGCAAGCTGACAGGAAGGAGGCAATTTAAAAGGACTGGAATGAAGGAAACTGTAAAAACAAAGTGGGAATTGAGAATGCAAGAGAGAAAAAAAACAGCAAACGATTGTTCACGAAGTTGGTACACTCTCTTACTCTTTTCAGCTGTGGACAGGATGTTTTAAACTTTAACCTCTTGCTTTCTTGGATACTATTCTCTGGCTAAGTGGTTCTTTCTGCAAAGGGGGTGAAGATTTCTGCTCCTCACCTGTCTGCCGGCGGGTCTGTTCTCCCAAGAATGCGGTGTAGATGAGCTTGCTACGGCTGCTTGTGGAATGCCCCATGGCACACTGCTGTTTGCCGCCGCTCACTTGTTGTTTTTTCACAGGTTGTTCCCGTACTCCAATAGGAGGCTACTTACCAAGCCTCTGCTCATCTGGAACCTGTGACTTCTTGCCAGGCACCAGGAAAGTGCTCAGCAGCAGAAATGGGGAAATCTCTCGCTAGTTTTGGGTAAAACGTGCCTTGGCTTTTTTTATCCTGGCAAGACGTGGCTACTTGGACTGCATCTGCAATGTGGCAAAGGGCGAAGTGAGGACGGCAAAGAGGACATGGTTTGTGGGCAAGTCCCCAAGTGCCGCAGGCTTTGTCGCCCTCGTCCCTTCCTTCTGGCCTTAGTGGTGGCCATCTGTCTGTTCTGCCAGACCCTGACTCCACTCATGACCAGCAGCATCCTTTCGGCCGTTGTTAATGGGATTGCACCCAACAAACTGACTAAAACACAGCAAGGCAGATACAAGGAGGTCTCCCCAAGCAACACTCACTGCTTCCTCCCTGGCAGTAATTCACAGACAGTGAAAAAGGTAAGTCAGCTGGAGCAGAGTGCTGAGCAATAATTAGCAAAGCGAAGGATAGCGAGTCTGACAGGATCATCTGAGTCCAGCTAAAATTAGACTAAGCTTGGAAGTCTGAGATCTGTATACAAACAAATGGGTGATCTAATGACAGCAGCATATGCGCAAGAACATCTCCGTTACCAGCTCTTCAGTGTAATGTTATTAACACAGGAATCCTGAAATCTTCGACTGAAACATGGTATTGCTCTGTGACTCCAGGGAGATTTCAGTTTGCTGCACAAACCATATTTTATTTTGGCTTTTGGAATCAGGTCAGAGGCTTTACAGTACAGGCACATAAATCAGGAGCCAGTGGGGTTCCATGAAAGTGACCGAGGCTGTTAATTAGCACCAGGACTGCAGCTGCCCTGTGTTAAAGTTATCTGCTGGTCAGTTTTGAACTTTACTAGGATTCTGCTGAAAAGCTGAATATAAATGCATTTGAGAAATTAAAAAAGCACTTTTCACACTTTCAGATCACACTATTTACTTTGGAAATCTTTGTCCCGCAAATTTTACTTTGTCCTTAGGTTACCTGACCTCATGTTTATTTTGTATAGGCTTCCTAGAAAGGGTGTTGAACCTAACAAATGCCGACACTGTTATTTTAGTTGGAAAATGTGGTTTGTTAAATGGTCCAGACTGATGTAGTTATTTTTACTCTGGAACCTGTGATTAGCGCTAGCACAAATGTTTCAGGTTTTCTTTAGTCCTGTAGAGGACTGCTAATAGTGCAGAAGATATTGCACCGTGAAATTATCATTATGCTGGCATTTTGTATACAACAGTGCCAGGAATATAAACATTAATCTGTGACTTCACATATTATGGACAGTACCCATGTAAAGCGATTAAAAAAAAAAAAAAATAGAAGGCTGGTTCTTTGATTAGGCAGGGTTCACAGTCTGGAAGGTCAGCAATATTGATTTTAGGAGAGCAGTTGTAATGTACATCTTCTTCAACAATTAAAAACAGATACGTGAAATAACTTTGGTATGAACTCTTTAACCCTAAATCTTAAAAAATTGATTTTTTTTTTCTTGTGAAGATCAGAGAGATTTATCTTATGAGTTGCAGAAATCTACTCCATGCAGCATTTGTCATAATTTTATATTTTAATGACCTTTTAATACACTAGGTACTCAGATTTGAGTTTGTTCAACAATGTGACATGAAGAATTACAATTTAAAGGGAAATGAGCACAGCTGATGGATGCGAGTCACATAGTGTTACAGCTTTTGATACTTAACAGCCCACTCCTTTTTACTCATTGCTATTGTAATGGCAAAGAACATTTTGTATCTCACCTTGGGCTACCTAAAGTCTGTAAGAACTGGTAAAATAATGGCAAAGTTTTGCTAGCATGTTGTTTGGCTGAAAATATCTGCAATTTCTTGTTTCCCAATTTGCCTGAGAACAATGCAGATGGACGCTGATTTTGCTGTGATGGCTGTTTGAAATTAGAAGGAAGCTTATGTTTTTACAACATGCTGTACTTACTGCCCTCCAGCATGCGTGGTTGGATGTGACTATCACACGCACATGTTTGAACCTTATAGTACAGATGTAAATGCATATGTTAACCCTTATAGGTATGGTTTCCAGGGCTGTGCTACTCTTAACACATTCTTCAAGTTCTGAAGACCACCCATAGCTGGCTCCCTATTTGTCTTGAAAGTTTCCTCCAGAGCCTGATGAACAAAATGTCTTGCACATGTTGGGATGTTACTCTAAGTTGCTCTCTGTTTCTAGAGAATACTCTGCTGGTTGTGTGGGCTAAATAATAATCTCAGGGAACAGAAAAGACAAACATCTCCAAAAATCACTTTGCTTTGAAAGTGTGTTCTTGAACTGTGTGTTTTCACCCACTGTTTATTCAGATAGCTGAACTGTTGTTATCTTGCTTCATTTTATTGGATACTCAGTAACATCTAAGACAGATGTCATGGTTGAAACTTTACATTGTTTTATTTTACAGTCATGTACCTACTCAGAGTAGCTAGTTTGGAAACAAGTTTTCATTAGAGCTCTGGTTTAAATCTTCATGTATGAATCTGGAAAAACACTTTAAAATATAGTCCAAATTATTCACATTTTTAATTAACAAGTCACACATGTATTCTTAGTCTGTAAATAGTCCAGCAAACAAATTGCAGTTAAACACTGCACATGTCTTATGAAATCTAAGTTCAGTAATAAATTTTAAAGGAAAAGAAGACCCTGCTGGAGATAATGTTCTTTAGATAACACCCAGTGTTTCTGGATTTTGAGCACTGGTCACACTGCAGAATCTCTTCTGTCTGGGTTGGGGCAGGTTTAATTCTTGATTCCTTCAGAGAAATAATCAGCATTGTGTTGAGTTTGCTGTGAGAACTTGGTTATGACTGCTTCTGAATGAGCAAAAGCCTCTTCCTGATGAATCTGATAATTTCTCTGTCAAAGTACGCATAGCACTAAGTGCCTAAAAAAAAAAAGAAAAAAAAAAAAAAAAGACACATTTCATGAGTTATTGGGGGAAGCAGAGGGAGAGATCTGAGGAAAAGTGCAGCTTTGCCACTGCATCTCTGATCTCAAAATTAATCTCATTTGGAAAGTAAAGTTCCAGACAAATGCAGAAAAAGCACAGGGCTGGAAACTGCCAATTTGATCTGTAAATGTGTCTTTAACTACATCCAAGATGCCCTGAGATGAAGCCATTACTGTCAGGCACATAGTGCAAACTGTCTCTTTTAAATGGCAAAAAATGTAGATTTTATTCATAGCCTGGAAGATCTTGCAGAGCTCATAGTATGTCTCTCTCAGGTATCACACATTACAGGAGTTTAAAAACTGCTGGAGAGCTGGTCTTGCAGCCTTATTTTGACATGAACAGAGATCAACAATTTCTAGTATAAAATTAAATGTTAATATCTGTTGCATGATAAATAGAAGGCTTATTTCTGAATCTCCAACATTTAAGGCATTAGAGGGAGATTTCACATCCAGCAGCAGGCTGTCTTCAGGATCAGCCAGGCATGCTTACCTTCTGCATGACAAAATATTTGCAAATATATATAGTAAGGAGAAGAGTTAGTGCTGTAGAATCAAAACTGAAATAAGTATCAACAGAAAAATCCCATACAAACCCTGTGTGTACGTTTACCTGGCATGGTATTGCACCAGAAATACCTTTGGTACTAGCCAGATGTAAAAATTCTTACACTCATCTTGAGCAATTTAGCTCTGCTTCTCAGCTAGTTCTGAGAATAGCTAATTAGCTGGTTACACTGTGTCTCAATTAATTCAGCCAGAGCCAATTCAGGTGTCTGCACAGCAGTGCATTTTGCCCAGGTAGACACAGTACTCCTGCTGTTGGGAGGAAGCAGTGAGACAGTATTTCTCATGTGGTAGGCACAGCTTCAGCATACTAGCTCTTTAACCATGGTCAACGTATTAAAAAAAAAAAAAAAAAAAAAAAAAAAAAAAAAAAATTAAAAAATTAATATAGGTCTTGAAGAAGATTATTTCATGGATACTCACAAGAGCCTTGCTTCACATCCCCTGGCCATTTAAGGATAGCTGAGAAAAAGAAAACAAATGAGACATGCAGCTGATTATATAAGAATTTAAAGAGTGGGTGAGGCTGGCATCTTAATAAATGAAATATAACACGTATGTTGAAAAAAGCTGTCTTCACTTTCAAGGCCCTCAACCTGCCACTTAGTTTGGTGCAAAAGATAGATTTCTAAGAGGAGCTATAATGAACTGAGCAAAGAGGAAGAATAAGAAAAGGGTTTTTATAACTTTATTCTGAACAAGTAGGATAGAATATCATTTACAGGAAGTGGGCAGTATGAAAGATGCAAGATAATGACAGTTTGATATGGCCATATCTCAGAGATACTATGTAGAAAAAAAAAAAAAATAAAAAAAGGGATAAGCATGTTTTAGTCTTGTCCGAGATCTAGAGGAAGACTCAGCTGAACTTCTTGCACAGGTTTACAGGACCAGGTACCTATATTTCAAAACTGTGATTGAAACTACTAAAAAGCTGAGAAATTGTTACTAGACTCTGGACATTCAGAGTGGAATTAACCTCTCTTTACTTGAGTACTTCACTCTATCTTGTCAGAGCCAGAAAGCTGGATTTCATAGTCAATGGAAATAATTGCCTCTAATGCAAAATTCATCATGACTTATTGCAGACATTTAAAACAAATGTGATGAACTTCACCCTCTAAAGGTGTGTGTCTGGCTTTTTTTTTTTTTTTTTTTTTTTTTTTTTTTTTTTTTTTTTTTTTTTTTTTTTTTTTTTTTTTTTTTTGGATGGAATATACTTGCTTCAGTCAGAATAACCAGGGAATGAAGACAGTAGGAGAGGACTGTCATGGAGGATGGTGTGGGGAAAGGAAGGCAGATGGGGAAGGCAGAGTAGGGAACCATGGCTACAAAGTAATAGTATCCTAATAGCATCCTCAGAAGGCACAGAAGAGATTGTGCACCAATGGGGCTGGATTTGTGCTGGCGAAGAGAAAGGGAGATGAGAATAGAAATGAAAAGAAAACAAGACAAAGCTAGTGGGAGCTTTTGAAATGTAAATATGTGAAAAAGGAGAAATGAAGCTGGATGATAGAATGAGAAGGGGTGATTTTTGCTATTATGTAGAAATGGAGTGTGGTGAGAGCTCAGAAAGAAAAGATTACATTATGCATAATAAGGCTTGATACATTTTTAAAGTAAATTTAACCTTAAAAAGGCTATTTTATAGAATAGAGTAGGGGGAGGAGGAGAATTCTTTTCTTCTCTCACAAAAGAACAAAGAACTTTGCTAGTATGAAATCACTGTTAATAGAAAGCAATCAATAGATGGTATAATAGCAGCAACTGGTTTCCTTGGAGTTATACCACATTCACATTGCACCCTATGAAAGCAGGACACTTTTTTCCCCTTTTTCAATGTAAAATGTAAAAGGCACTGAGGAAACAG